TCTTTGCAGTACTGCTAAAATTAAACTAATATATAGTTTTTATAACTATTAATAATAAATAAATAATAAGTACTAATAATTTTTTTTTTAGTATACTTATTAAAGTGCTTTAATTATTTAAAAATAAGCTTATTTATTATTTAACTATTTTTAAAAATTGTAATAACTTAATTATAAAGCAGGCTATTTTTTTTATATTAAGCTAAAAAGTAGTTTTTGCCTGCAAAAATAATAAAAAATAAAATAGTTTATTTTATTATATTAATACTTTAAATTACTATTACTTACTTTTAATTACTTTACTGCACTATTTTTAGCTATTTTTAATAGTTAGTACTTAAAATAATAGTTTTATATAATATTTAGCCTATTATAAAGCTTATTTTATTAAAATTATATATATTTTTATTTTAAATACTATGCTTAGCTTTTATATTTTTTATAAATTAGAACTAGCTTTATATAAGCTTAAAATTTTTATATAAAGCTTTTTAATAATTATACTTTTAAAAAATCCTAGTACTAAATTATAAATATTATTTAATAAATGTGCTAGCTTAGTTTTTACTAATAAGTAATTGTTTATATTTAGCTAGCAAAATATTAGCTATATTATTTATAATAGCTAGTTAGGGCGGAAATCCTTAGTTTTTAAAATAAAGTATATACTAGGCAATTATTTTTTTTTTTATTAAAAAAATTTTTATTTTATTAAGCCTAGTATTGTGTTATAAAAGCTTTCTTTTTAATTAATTACTAAGTATTATTTAAAAAATGCTATAAATTTGTGCAATTTTTTATTAAAAAAAATTTGCATTGCATTTTAAAGCCTAAACTATAAACTATATTTAATTTTTTTTTTAAAAAAATTGTATATTATTGTATTAAAGTATTGCGTTTAATAGTAAAAAACTACTAATTTTAGTAAGGTTTTAGCATTGTAACTAACTTAACTAGGCAACTAACTTGCCTGTGTAATACGTTATAAATAGCTAAAAATTTCTATACTTTTTTAAAGTATATAATACTATTATTTATACTTAAAATAGAATAATTTTAAAGCTAGTTTATAATATTTATATACTTTCTTCTTATTATTTACATTTAATAGACAGAATAAAGCTTAATAATAAAAATAATTTAAGCTTAATTAAAACTTTCTTGCAAACTTTTAAAAAAAAATAATAAAAAAATACAGCAGCAATAGTAATGCTATATTAATAAAATAAAAACGTATAAAATAAGCTTTAAAATTTTATTAAAATACTTAATGTTATAGACTGGCCTTAGGATTGTTCTGTTCTAAGCGTAAATAATAGTATTATATACTTTAAAAAAGTATAGAAATTTCTAGCTATTTATATAGGAGTTTATTGCTAAAATTTGCCGAGGTCTTTAGTCCGCAAATACTAGGGCTTAAGCTAAAGCCCAAGCTATAATATTTAAAAGCAATTGCCTACTACAGCTAAAATTTATAAAAGCAGAACTAGCACTTGCTTTAGTACTATTAAAATTTTAAATTAACTTTTAACTAGGCGCGCCTGCTTTACTTATTGCACTTATATTTTAATTAAACTTTTTTATTATTTACTATAAACTTTTTTTAATAAGAAAGCTATTTTTAAAATATAAAATATACTTTTAAGCCTAAAAAGTTACAATTATCGACAGCTACAGCAAGGGCAAAGAAGCTCTCTAAAGTTAGTTACAAAAAATCAAGCTGCAAAAATTTAGATTTTTACCTAAGTAGGTAACTAAATTTGGCAAAAAAAGAAGAAAAATACAGCTTTTATTGTTAGAAACTGCAGGATTTGAACTCAGTTTACTGTATATAATTCAGATATAATTAGAATATAACTTAAGTATAACTTGGGTTTATTTTAATATAATTTAGATTTAATTAGACAATTATTAAACTTAGCTATATAATTAACTGAATTATTAAGGTTTTTAGAGCTGTAGAAGCTTTTCCTTAATAAGCTACAATATTCGAATTTAACTACAATTGTATAGCTGCAATAGCAGCTCAGGCCTCTATTTTTTTAAAAAAAAAAGGTTACAATTAAGCATAAGTTAAAAACTAATACAGCTTTTATAAAAAATAAAAAAAATATATTTACTTTTATATAAAATTAACTAAAAGCAAGTATTTAGAAAAAAGTTAGCTTTTACTATAAAACTAGGGGGTAATATTATAGACTAGCTTTAGGATTGTTCTATTCTAAGCGTAAATAATAGTATTATATACTTTAAAAAAGTATAGAAATTTTTAGCTATTTATATAAAAATTTATTATTAAAATTTACTAAAGTTTTTAGTTTGCAAATGCTAGAGCTTAAGCTAAAACCTAAACTATAATATATTTTTTTATTTTTAAAAAAAATTCTCTCTTTTTTTTAAGCTTTAAGCTAGTTATAATATTATTAAATTTTTATAGTACTTTAGTATAGTTCTTTTTTAAAAAAATTTTAAATAGTTTTAAAAATTATTAGCTTTTGCGCACTTATAATAGTAGCTTATATTAAATTTAAATAAATTTTTTAAGTAAAAACTTATAATTTTTTTTTTTAATTATTTTTTTTTAAAACTACTTTTGTACATTTTTTTTTTTACTTTTTTTTATATTTTTATTTTATAAGCTTTTTTTTTTTATATTAGCCTTATAGTGCTGCTTATTTTTTTACTATAATAATTTATAATTTTATTTTTAGCTTTTAATTTTTTATTCTAAGCAGTAGTAGTAGTTTACTTAGTAGTAGTTATAGTAATTTTAATAACTATTGCTAAAATATATGCTATTTTTTTATATAGCGCTATAGTAGAGCTAATTTTTTTTTAATTAAGTATTTTAGCTAAGCTAGTGCGCAAATTTAAGCAGTATATTATTAAAAATAATTTTAATAATAAAAAATTTAAAGTAATGCTTATTTAAAGCTAAATATATACTAAATATATTAATATTATAAAAAAGTTTAATTACGCTAAATATTAAAATAAGCTTAATTAGTTATATTTTACTTGCTACTAAAGCAAAAATATATATAAATATAAAAATATTTTTTTTACTATATATTTTAATTTTTGCTAGGCTTTTTAGGCTTAGTAAAACTACTATAATAAGTTTAATTTTAATAATAATTTGCACATTATTATTTAAAGTACTTATAATATTAATTTAGCACATTATATAGCTAGTATATATTATTAATTTAATTTATAATTTTATATACTGCGCTATTGCTATAAAAATGTTTATAATACTACTATTTATAATATTATTACTTTATTTCTGTTTTAAACTGCCTGTAGCTTTAAATAAATTATAAGTAATTTTTTTTATACTACTATAAAAAAAGCTTTAGCTATTATTTTTTATATTTTATTTTATAGCTATGCTAGTTAAAAATTAAATATATATATAAATAGTATAGCAAATATTATAAATTAAATTATTAATTTAATTTATACTTGTATTAGGGGCTAAAATACTTATTTTAATACTTTTTAGGCTTTTGTAAATATA